ATTTCTAATCAAAAAGACAATGGAATACATCTTAGAATTTATGTGCTACATTATGTAAGTTAATCTTAAATGAAACTTTGATATTGTCCTCTCACATCTTATTAGTCGTTTGTTTGTACTTTTATAAAAATAAGGCGAACTGCTTGAATATCTGGGCTACCCGTTTCTGTTATCTAATTTTTTCGACAAGCTATCTGTTTTTTCATTTTGTTTTAACATCTCATTATGTTTATTAGTCGCATAAACTATACGGAAGCGTTTATGAAAAGTCTATGACCTTTCGCAGCACAATTTATAAAAAAGTACAATAAAAGACATCGCGCTGGTTAGCAATATACGTTGAAGAGAATAGACATTAATCGTATGTCGATTTTCGAGCTGCTAAATTCTAACTGCCAATCACTAATTAACAAGTTAGACTATATTCAATTCCTACTAACTCAAAATATGTATAGTAATTATGGTGTCATCACAATTCAAGAATCTTGGTTAAATGAGTTACATGACGATTGCTTAGTATCACTACGTGATTTCAAAATCTATTGTCAGGATCGATCAAACAATAAAAAGAGGTGCTACGTTTGTAAACATAAACCGGTGTCCATCTACTTTTGCATGTTTCAAGTATTGAAATGACTTTATCGACTGTCTAAAACATTTAAATCAATACAAATATGTTGGAGTCAACTTAGTCAATAACCTGCATTATTAAACATGTTTCTAATTTGGAAAGTTGTGCAGTTTTAGATCTTTCTTTTCACTTTTTCCTTTCTTTTTTTGTTTTTTTTTCGGAAAAAAAGCTTGTTGAAATACCTTGTGCTGAGAATTCTATATTACACCATAATATAATATTGAATAAAGCCATTAATAATAATAGTGATAAGCGATATGTGAAGTAGAATACATGAAAGTAAAAACCAAGCATTCAAACATTTTATAGCATAAATGGGAAGTAACTAACAACGGAATGCAGAGCATGTATTTCATTCTATATATTTGAAACTTGTCTATATAAGTGTGTACATAATCGATAAGACTATAATTTATGGACGACCTTTGAGTGACACCAGATTGAATTTGAGAGTGTTCATCTAAAAACCAGGATCAAATGAGAGTTATGAACAAGTGTGAGAAAACAGAATTATGATTTACAGTTGATGCTTAAGATTAAAAATTCGATTTGGGGTTTTCGTTACGAACTGACATCGGTTATAATGACAAAACTCTATTTATCCAAATGAATAAGTGAATTTCACTCGAAAGCCTAAACCTGTTATCTTATACCTGATAGGTTTGTTCATAAATTAAAGTCTCATCAGATAATCTTATAAGATAATGGCTTGGTTAAAGTAATCAACAATGAATACATTTAAACCAATTACGAATGATTAAAATTCAATTACAATCTTATTCAATTGAATAATTCAATATCATTACAAATTAAATGAATCAACTTTAATTTTGCTTAACTAGTCAATTGAAGTTATATAAACAAAACAGAAAACAGCATTCATAATACTAAAAATGAATGTTCATATGTTTAATCACCATCTTCTTGTCATTATTGTATGTTTCACAATATAAATGATGACTTATTAGAATATATATATATATATATATATATATATATATATATATATATATATATATATACAAGATGTAGAATAAGTCGACCTCCCATTACAATGACAAATTCTATACAAAATTGTATTAAATATATCATATAAAGTAATTATGAATGACAGAAAATCATTAGCGACATTAAAAAAACAACATACAATTACAATACCTGATTTGTCGTTTGTTTTGTTTTGTTTTTCTTTTTTACTTTTTTTCTAGTTTTTTTTTACAAAGAATAAATATCATTTAGATCAAATATAAAATAATGAGACAATTACATACAAGTGAATGTACTATAGTCTACTTTGATCGGATCAAACTGTTTGTCTGATGTTTAAAAAAAAACAGCAAATAAATACAACTGAAAATAACCCAATTTAACAGATTCATTAGAATGTATTGTAATAACTTTGAACTATACTATTGATGAGATATATAAATAGATAGATAGTTAGTTAGTTAGATAGATAGATAGATAGATATCTTTATTAACCGATAAATAATTACATTTTAACTAACTACTAAATCTTTCGACTATTACATAATCATTTTTATACTTTTTGAAAAAGAAAACTAACAATATACAAATGTCAAAACAGTTGCTACAATAGTTTTGTTTAGTATATATATATATATATATATATATATATATATATATATATATATATATATATATATATATATACTCTGATGTAATCTCTGCATGTATGTTTGTATTACACTTTTTTTCTTTTTTTTCTAACGTATGAAAATAATTTAACAAAGTGATTTTTTTTCTTTTTTTTAAAAAAAGAAAAGAAAAAAAGCAGTTGATGCTATGGAATAAAACATATGCTTTTCTTTTTTTCTTTGTTTTCTTTTTTTTTCTAACATTTGTCTCTGTCTGGTTAAAATATTATTGATATACACATATCTATGTATTAGATTAAATTGAATAATCTTTATTTAAATGTAATTACAATGAGATGATTATTTGTATAGTAAGTCATTAATAAACATCTAGAAATAGCTCATATTATTCATAATTACTCAATTAAATACAGATAGATGTATTTGTTGGAGGTCGATAGTATTATTTAGTATATAATTATGTAAACAGTAGTGTCAATATTTATGTAATTTTACTGAGGGTAATGCTAAAAATGATGACGTAATAACTATGAAAAATAAACATATCTATATTAGTGCACTTGAATATCAATGATAACCTAGTAATGAAAAGAATATATTTCAATGCTTTCTGATCATTGTTGTTTCAAATATGAACATTTAACTAACGAGTTGAATTACTTTAAAAGTAATACTTTTCTCAATGGTTAAGATCATAAGCCAGTCATTTAAAGCTAGACTACCATGGAAAACCTGGAAAAACTGGTGGTCTAGCTTCAGCTGATTCATGATCTTAACTACTGAAATTACTATAATATCCAAAAAACCCATCTAATACTTTTTGAATGGAATAATTCAATACTGATGATTAATGAATAGTTTCACAGGTTAAAAGACGTTGTTATGTGTATAAATGAGATCATAATTATCTCATTAAGGTTATGACTTGTTAGTATGTACAACTGTTGCAAATGTTGATTTTTTTACGACATAACATGCATAAGCAAAAATGGGTGGCGGCTAGCAGTGAAATACAGGATGCGCTTTTGGTCCTGTTTCGGGACTCGTCAGCTGGATCTACCTACATCCCACAGTTGATGTTTACTTCGGGAGTTGAACCCAGTACCATTCGCTTCAAACGCCATCATGCTGTCTAGCTGACAAGTCCCAAATAAGACAAAATATTCATCCTGAATTCCATTACTAGCCACCATCCATCTTTCCTTATAAAGCTTGTGACTTAAGGCAATTTCGAGGTAATTCACACAGGATGTACAGATATCAATTGCAGCCCTTAACGACAATGCAAATTTTTAAGCAAATACTACCAAATGAATTTAAGATCATGCATAACTAAATTAATTCGTCTCCGATATGTCGTATGTATGATTGTTGTTTTCACAAACTTTTGATTATTATAACTGGAACACTTCAGTAATACTTTTAAAATAATTACGATTATTCAATTACTTACTCTAAAATACTTGAAAATGGATATACATCAATCAATACAGTAAATATCAATGTATCAACAAGTCTTATCATGTTATATCCAAGGGATACATTCCAGTTTGCCATAAGATGCAATATTCTTTCATCAATCTTAATAGAGTTACAATCTACTGTATTGTAAATTATTTGAATTCTAAAATCAGTTACACATATTTCTACCGATACATTTTATTTACTGTGTTTAATTCTTTTTTTAAAGGGTTACAATTGAAGTTACATATTGTATACTGTTTTTATAACTATCCAATTGTTAATGTTGAATGTGTATTCATTCTTTATTTTAAAAATAAATTTTGTAAATTAATTCTTCCAGTTTTGTATTTTTTAATTTTTTGTTCTTTGAAATATCAATGCTGAGGTACATAAAATGGTTTTTAGTTTTCTTTTTTCTATAATGCCGCCAAATTTTAAGCTCTGAATAAAAAAAAGAAGAAATTAGACTGTAGTGTCTTTTTTCTTTTTGAAAGCAGTGATTTTATTTAATTTTTAATTTAATAGTTAAATTTTCGAGTCGATTTAAACTAGACTACCATGGAAAATTTGGACGCTGAAAGTCCTGGGTTCGAGTCCCGTATGCACAATGCTGAGATGTCCTATACTATGATGAAACAAACATCCAGTGTTTTCAGGTTTTCCATGATAGACTGGTTTTAATCAATTCATAAATTCAACTATTAAATTACTACAATCTCCATAATCTTCCCCCTTTCTGATAATAATTTTTAATTCATAAGTCTCCAGATTATTTTGTAAAATTAAATATAAGGATTAGCTTTGTTATAATAAATTATCAATGGATTTTAAATGTCCCTATATGTAAAATATATAAGTTAATTTCATTAGTACACAATGTGACACTAATATTTTTCGTCGAATTTAGAAGTCAACAATTTTAGCGTATTCAAGAGAGTAGACAACTTATCAAGCATTACTTTGTGTGTTACACACACACAGTTCTATGATAATTATTCGATTTCACAACTTAAATATTTGTTAAAATGGTTTCTAGATATCCTTTTGCATATGAAAATTATTATAATAATCAGGAGAAATACAAATATATAGTTCATTCCTTTGTGGATTTAGATGCAGTATTGTTTAAGTGCTCTTAATCAGGATAAAACTGATTTTCAAAGGTTATGCAAACGGTTTCGAATGAATAATAAACGAATAAACCAACATTATCTCATGTCAAGTGACAAACTATTTATAGGGAAATGTTAAATTTATTTTAAAATAAGGTCTCTTTATCAAATTACCTCTTAAAGCAGTTCTTAATTTTGCCAATTCTTTATGCCATCGTTCTAAGTAAGTTGATAAACTTTGATGCAATTCTTCTGTAGTTTTCTGTAATAATCCTAATTCCATTTGAAATGTACAACATGTATGCTTTGGTAAATTGGTATCTGACCAGTAACACAAACTTTGATGATATAATTGTGAATGATTAGCATCCCAAGTTAAATCGGATAAACTCCTACCTTGACCAGCATGAGCTCGATATGTATCCAGAAAGTTATACTCCAATAATTGATTAAGTTGTGTCTCAGAGAGCCATAAATATAAGGATTCTTTAGCATTCCTCGAATTTTCATCTATTGTTGTTGAAGTAGTTGTGCTACTAGTGCGATCATTATTTCGTGATAATTGTCGATTTTCTGTATTCGGCTGGTGTCGTTGTTCACTTTGAGTAGTTGGATTCACTAAAAATGTACATGAATCAAAGAAATAGGTAAAGAAAATCAAAACCAGTCTTATTTTTGAAGGTGTTATTAATTTTTTTATCATACTACACTGCTAGACCAGACGTCTATAGGTTAACCAATCTTGAATGAGACTTAAGTTCCTTAGTTTGTTTCCCGGATGCACACTGTTGAGGAGACCCACACTAGGACGAAACGTTTGTCTTGGGCTTCCAATATTTATTGATGATCTAGTTACGAAACTTCTACAATATGTGAAAGTTAATGTAATACAATCCATATCGAAAACAAACACTTTCAAAAGTTTCAATGTGTCAAACAATTAATGAGGATTGATGCTTTTAATGAAGATTTTAGTCAGTGAATATAAGATTACTAAATCATCTCCAAAGTAACACACTGTAAGGTATGTCTATTTTAATTGAAAGACGGGACTTATTGATTATGATCTTCAAACTTTGATGATAATCCATCATTTGATGTTAACTAATGCTTTATTGCTTGTTATTTCATTTAATATATTTTTGTACCTGTGTTGTAGCAACTTGTATGGTAGCTGACTATCTGCTTATCGTGAAATATTTTATACTGCCATGAAATAGATTCCACTGAAATTTCCGGAAAGAAGCATTTAAAAGTCAGGAGGGGGATGAAAACACTATACCCAATCATATATTCATCGAAAACGTATTAGAAATGTCCAGAGAATTTGCAAATATGTTGCACTTTAATTGGACGATGGATTATTCTTAGTCTGAAATTATAGTAGCGTAAGAGGATTCAGAGGTCAAAGACGACTAATACATTTGTATGATAATAAAACTCTAAGTTAATCTTGTATGATTACTTCATTCTTCTTCTCTATTGTTTAACATCCAAGTTTTAAAAAGTCCCTTGTAATCTACAAATCGTCCAGGAAGTTATTATCAAGCATTCAAGTACAAGAAGTAACAGTTTAAACTTTTATTTTCTAAATGAATATCTTCTAGTCATTAAAAATATCTCTACCTTAAATTTATCTATCCACTAAATTGCGAGTTTTAAGATTTTAAAAATCATTTTTTTAATGATACTGTGGTGTATGCTACTTATGTCTGTCAGCATAAGCAGTATATAACACCAATCGTAAGTGGAAAACGTATCAACAGAAGGCTATGAAGGTCGACTCGAAGAAAATCTAAATGGAATTAAAAGGGAATTTCAGATCGGAATAATCATATAGAATATGAAAGACAAATAATGAGAATTTGCAAGTGAAGTGTTTAATTTATGTTTCTCATATTTTACAAAGACACTACTCAGAATAAGTGCCTTACATTGTGTCACTATTCTATACTTGACATAACTTTAGACTGTATGAATTCCATTGACATGGTCTCCTTGCAATCGTATATTGTTTTCAGTGGTTAAAGGTGAATTTTTTTAATATTTTACTTATCGAAATACGATATTATATACATTTGATCAGTGCTTTTAGAACTCTGTCGTATATTTTTTATAAAAAACATCTTTTTAGATGAATCAGCAAAACATCAAAACAGTATGAAACATAATCAGGTTTATACAACTACATTTTTATTCACTGTATTGCTTTAAATTATTATTTGGAAAATAGTAAACATACCTTAATTTTCTATGGATATTTAATTTGTATGTAAGATCTCTTAGATGCAAATTAATATAATGACATTGTTTATCTTTCACTAGAATTAGTAAAATGATTATTGGAAACCAGGAAGTACTTGAATGATAGTCCATCTTAGTTTAATATATCTCAATAATAAACGAACAATCCTATAAGTGATTCAATTGTAAGATAAACAGGTCTCTAGGTAGACAGGATAAATCATTGGTCATAAAGTGTCGTACTTATCTCAAGATGAGAATGTACCACCAAATGCCTTGGTACGGCAGAGAGTAGGGAAAGTCATCTCTCTCTCTCAAAGTGCTCTCATATGGTCACGTGCATACAACCACTGCCACGGAAGTCCAACTCACTGCCTTCTAGCTGCATTACTTTTGTTGACGAAATTATGAGGCCGAAAAGCTAATGTCCGGCACTTTAATCGGGTTGGTGGACACAAAGAGAACACCTAGGGGAGTTGGTAAACCCTGATTCCAAACCAATGGTGCACATAAGTTCCAGGATCATGAGAGAGCAAATAGCGTATGAACCAATCGCTGGTCACGGGCTACCACCGGGACTGCATCTCCTGACGTTGTTCCACTGCCTTGTGGATTAGACCTTCAGGCCAATGGCTCGAAGTGTTGCCCCGTAAAAGTTCATCTGTGTTCCGTTTGGATGTCTGGGTTGTATTCCAGCCTCACACAAATCTAATCATCTATGTGGCGCACATGTATTCGGCACCCTTTTGTACCAATGTTCCAATGGTTGAAAGAATAATAATATATCAGAATGTCATCGGTTTAATCTTATATGTAGTTTTAAGCGTTACTTAATACATCATAGATTATTTTTGAAAATATAAACATTCAGACTATATATCTAATGGTTAGATACATTTTAAAATCTTTATAAATGTAATTAGAAAATTAAGTCGACTATAAAATTACTATTAATAATAGCAAATTAGACAGTGGTCGGTTAGTATTACATTAAAAGAATTTATATCAACTATTTCCTATCATTGTCAACTTAGTCCATTATTTTTATGAATGATGTTTGTATGTGTGTGTGCATGTGTGTGCAGAAGAAGAATATGGGATAAATGAATATTGCCCACTTATAAATGATACCGCTAACTGAAATATTCAGAAAATAATAGTTTAAATATTTTAAATGTATATGATTAGTTTTACCTTGATCAGTCTAAATGAAAACATCTTAACATAACAAGAAAAGAGTATATTCTACTTATCTCAGTAGAATTGAGTACATCTATAATATGATACAAATCGATCGATGTTTTGAGTTCAATTGTGTAAATAAAACTACAATAACCCGCCTTATTTTATTTAAATTTCCATCAAGTTAACTAAAATTGAATTTTTGAATGTTTATTTAAATAATTCAATGATATTATGCCTATTTTAATCATTTAAAGATCTTAAATTTGATCTTTTGTTCACTTATTGATAATGTAACCTTAAATGAGAATGTAAAAGTTATCTTCTATAAAATTTACATTACAATTATACATATAATAATCCCAATTTAATCGTATGAAATTGATTATATACTACTGATTATTTTCAATATCCATTACTTGTGTTTTGATAAAAATTATTGTACTTTCACAACATCTGTAAATAGGTAAAAAATTGAAAATAATGCCAGCTAACTACTTTCATTAATAAATAAGATTTTTTGTCTAAGTTTGTATCGAATAGTTTCACAGTATTTAGGCTCCAAGTTAATGTAAGACTTTAAAGAAGAAGAAGAATGTATTTGTAAAGTCTTAGTGAAAGAATTTGAAATCATTCTTTTTCTTTAATACTTTTATCATTATTACAGCATTAGAAAAATAATGAGGTCTTAACAAAACGAAATTGGAATATTGTATGTATCCTTTTAGCTTAATAAAAAATTTTCTTACACGGTAGTTTAAGGACATTTGCGTAATTACGGACTAGAGATTTATTAGTGAGACTATAATTTATGGACGACCTTTGAGTGACACCAGATTGAATTTGAGAGTGTTCATCTAGAAACCAGGATCAAATGAGAGTTATGAACAAGTGTGAGAAAACAGAATTATGATTTACAGTTGATGCATAAGACTAAAAATTCGATTTAGGAATTTCGTTACGTACTGACATCGGTTATAATGACAAAACTCTATTTATCCAAATGAATGAGTGAATTTCGCTTCAAAAATCCGAGACCTGTTTTCTTATACCTGATAGGTTTGTTCATAAATTATAGTCTCGCCGATTTATTTTTCTAGATAACTAAGCACATCATCTATAAGCATACAATATGATTTCATATCATTCATCTATAGTTTCTATCATAATCATTCAGTAAGGAAGAAAGAACCTCTCAATGATTTTTGATTCATTCGATAAGTTGTCTAAAATGCCCTACAAAAATCTAACAAGTGTCTAGTAAATGAACATATATATAGGATATTCACTTCATAGTTTCAACTTCAAAAGACTTTTGTTTTCATTATTTCCATCATATTTTTTTGTCTACGAATAACTTTATAGTTCTAAATATTTGAAAATCTTTGCTTACCATTTATCAATGTTGGAATTCTTTTAGTTCTTTAATAGTTGATAGTGTTATGTTCAATCTCACTCTCTCACTCTCCATTTGTGTGTATGTATGAATGTATGTATCTATGTTATTCAAAAATGGAATCATTCACAATTTAAACACAATGGAAAATATGCAAACATATTTCACCGAAAATTCACATTTTTCCGCCAGTCAATTTCATAATCTTACAATTCAGTCAACAGATCAACAATATAACACTTGACATGAGATAAATGAAATGGGATTTTCTAAAATAAAAACTCCACTCTCTCTCTTTCTTCCATTCACTTCCTTCCTTTATACAATACACTTCTTATATTTATCTAACACAATTGAATTAAATTTTCATTGAAAGCATTATGGAAAATAATTAATCTCATATAAATTCGAGGAATAAATTTACGTAAGGTGAATGTATTCATTTAGTTTATTGTCATTTGAATGAAGACGTATATCCAAGTTAAAATGTATTGCTTTGGTTACATCTATCTGTTTTACAAGTGAATAAATAATAGTTCAATATAAACATGAAAATACGGTGGGGAGAGTTAGCTATCTCTCTCGAAATGCTCTTACATGTTCATACGTATACAGCTACTGCCAGGGATGTTCTACTCACTCCCTTCTCGTGATATTATTGTTGTTTACGAACTCGAGAGGACGAAAAATGAATGTCCGGTGCTTTGATCGGATTGGTGAATATGGAGTATCCAACTAGGGAAGTTGGAAAACACTGATTTCAAACAAATGGTGCAATAGGCTTCAGGATTCTGAG